AGTAAAAATCATTTCTGTGTTGAATGACCAAGACCCGGAACCATCACAAACTGGGATGTGTGGTAAAAACCATGCAGCCCAAGAAGATGCCAGAAAACGAGGTGGACTTCTAGCCCTGAAGTGGCTCACAGCTGAGTAGCAGCTGGCCGGGCATCTGGTACTTAAACTGTACTGAAACAGTGGCACCTGGAATAACTGCAGGATGGGAAGAGAACGCTTTCCCTGCCAGTGTCACTTCGACAAGATTAACCAACTAAACACAGATTGAGGGCTGCCCTTCTGGGGAGATCAGAGAACATTGTGGATGCTGGATTTACAAAGACCCATGAAATATGGCCCTGTCCCTCATGGGTCTCTCGAATCTAGCAGGGGGAGACAAACATTCATTATACCACAGGTATTTTCTGTCACTGCAATGTACATTAAAGCAAATTCAGGGCCCACTGACGTAAAAGTGTTACCAAGAGAAAGGGCCCCGCATCAAAAGCTAGTGCTCTAGCAGGAGCCATGGGGGAGGACAGACAGAAGCAAAAGGTATAATAAATAGGTAAATTTCATAGTCTGTTAGGTCATAGGCTGTAATGAAAAGGAAATTCAGGCCAAGGTAAAGGGATCAGGAGTATCATCCACAGGATGCCAAAGATGAGGACACACAGCAGTCAGTACCGTGGGGTCCTGGGTGGCCCTCATTTAATAGCTGAGAAGTGATCAAGGCTTGGTGGAATAGAGGTGTTTGCCTGGCAGATCTGGGAGAGGAGCATTCCAAGCAGAGGGAATGGCCAGAGCAGAGGCCCTCAGGAGGGAACCTCAGATCCAATCCATATCCTACAGAGTGCAGGGCAGCCAGAGATCAAGTGTTCAGGACTGAGTTGGGGCAAAGTCAAAGAGAAAACCCACTACATCTTATAGGGCTTTGTAGGCTTCTGTAAAGGCTTATGCATGTTCCTCAGACACGTAACAGTCAGGAGAAATACAATGGATTTAGGTGCTGAATTAGCATCCTCCACAAGGTGGAGGACCAGTGAAAGGAGAGAAACAGCCATGGGGCTGTGGGGGGAGCAAAGCTCATGATCAAAGAGGGAGAAATCAAGGCATGAGAGTGGAAGTACATCCGCGCAGTGCAGGTAGACTTGGTCCATGGCTGGGGGTCAGTTGGACCACTACTACCCCAGACATCAGTCCGATCCAGAGTGCCTTTTGCTTTCTGAAATCATCCTTTAGAGCTCAGAATAGAAATCTTGTCATTATGTCCTCACCATATTCTTGAGGATGCTTTGTCATTTTGTTTTGTGGTTGATATTCTCAATTTGAATGTCATCATTTCCCCATTTTATTTTTTACATAATAGCCACTGGTGTGCACAAAAGCTATGGATATTTTAAACACGACTATTTTATTTTCCCGTTTGCAGAATATTTTTTGCATTTTTCATGAGGTGTCTCATAGCATTTCTTCAGTCTTTCTACCAATATAGATTTTCTTCTTTATACTCTCATTGCACCAGAAACAAACCCTAAAACAATGTTTAGTAATTTGGTAATGTTTGTCTTCCTGATAATATGGAATTTTTTTTCAGTTGTTTAATATCATCTGTGTATTTGTGAGTTTGAAAACTGTGAGATACATAAGCTGCTAGTAGTATTTTCATAGTTCTTTTTATTTTTAATCACTGGGTATTGAATTTCATGAATACCTGTTTGAGCACTTAACACGTAGGTCTTTAACATGGTCAGTAGCAGGAGTATCCCTGCTCAGTGATGTCACTGCACGTCTTAGTTACCTTTCTCTCGCTGCTGAGACAAAACAACTGACACCCAAAGTTAAAGGGGGGAAGGTTTATTTAGCTCAGAGTTTATAGAGGTTCCAGTCCATAATCGGCTCACTCCAAGGCAGGGTGCCTTGGCAGAGAGGCATCACAGAGGAGAAGTTCATGGCAAGCAGAAGACAGCAAAAGAAACAAGGGACCATAACTGTCTTTCTGCACCTTTTATCTTATCCAGGTTACTGGGGAATAGGACAGTGCCAAACCAATCAGTAGACCGATTTAGTGATCACACACCCTTAATGCCAGCATTACACACTCTAGATTCAGCCACCTCTGAAAAAGCCCCACCTATGCCCGCATGAGGCTTTGGGGGGTGCATCTAGACACAAGCCATAACACTGTATGTTTCTATTTTATCTTGCTCTTCATAGATGACCCATTCCTTCGTGTCACAGCATGATGGATAGTTCAGGTGGTCGTTGTCCTTGGGAGTCAGATGATTTTCTGCCCTGCTTCTGGGTATGCGTGGAGTGGAGAAGACCTCTGGAAACTGAGCTGAGGTATTTGAAAATTGGACGTGTGTTTCATAACTACTTTTTACAGTGCATTTTCCCTTGGTGAAGCGAGTATCTAGTTGAGGGAATAAGTTTCCAGGATCCCCCTTGGCTGAAGCCAGCAGAGTGTCTTGAGAGAAACAAAAATGTTTAACTTGTGATAGGATAAAGGTTAGGGGACATAAGAGGTCTTCTAAAGCTAGGCCAAGACAGACACGGGGGAACTGTGCAAAGAAACAGAAAGGAGAGGGAAGGCTTAGGTTGTTACATTTGGGGTGGTGGGTGCCATTGTTTGCTAAGAGCGCAGGCCCACAAAACTGGGAGGTGAGAGGACAGAGAGGCCTCCTGGTCCCCTGGGGGCCTTTTCAAAGCGGAAAACGTAAATCATGCAGCACTTTCCATGTACATGTTTCCCAAACCCCTAGCAGCGCTTGTCAAATGAGAAAAAACATAAGGGCAGGGTGTGTGGAGAGTGGAGGCCCTTGAGATTTAATAGCAGACCCTGCGGGGTCGCCCTCCAGTTGTGAGGTGTACATACTTTCAAGGGCAAAGGGCTGACACCAGGAGGCGAGGAGTTGAGTGTTGGGGAACCTGAGGCACAGAGAGGTTGGGTAAGATGCACACAGGGGTTTAAGAAAAGTGTAGGACCTGCTGAAGAAGGAAATCTGCGTGACGTGACTCAGCAAAGATGATTTTGCAAAGAGCCCCACTGGTCAATCTGCGTACTCCGGGGGCCTTCCTATTAGCAAGCTGGTGCCTTTCATCACAGGAGATGACGGTGAGGACGTCAGTCCTCAGCCCCACCATGTGCACAAAGACTTACGCGTGTGCTTCCTGCAGTGTGGCGCAGATGGGCGCGTGGGGAGCAACAACCCTGGTCCAGGCAAGCTAGAGCTGCGCCTGGCCGGAAGGCACACGTGGAGACACTCCTGGGCAGAGTCACAATGCAGAGCATCTCGCCTTGTGGGCAGGAGTTCCCAGCCCCAGAGGTGCGGGGCGCCTGCGCAGTGTGTCCGCGGCGCCGCGCTCTGCGGACTTCGGGAGACCCCCGCCCCCGCCCCGTGGCCCTGCACCGTGGACGCGCACGCGAGCGCGCCCGCCTCACCTCGCTCAACCCCGGGCTTGGGCGGCCGGGCGGCCGGGCGGTAGAGGGGGGGAGAGACGGAGAGAGGAGGGAGGTAGGGGGAGGGGAGCGGAGGGGGCAGAGGCGGGAGCGCACCGGCGTCCTGGGGGGCCGAGAGCGGAGTCGCGAGCACAGTCGCGGGCTGCCGGGCGCGGGGCGGTGGCAGAAGCGGCTCCTCCAATCAGGCTGCGGGCTGGGGACCCTCCGCGTGCCCGGCAGGCCACTGCCCGCCCCGCGGACCAACTGACGCGCCTGCTCGCCCTGCCCCGCCTCCGCCCCGTGCCCGCCCCCGCGCCCGCCTAGTTGTCCCTGGGCTGCGGCTGGCGGCGGATTAGCCGCTCTGGTTGGCCTGCTCCCTCCCTCGCTTGCTAGGTCTCCTGCTCTACCGACCCTCTCGCTTATTCGCCCTCTCGCCCGTTCTCCCGCCGCGCCAGGCCTTTTCTCTCCAGGCAGCTCAGCGGCAGCCCGCTCCGCAGCTTCTAGAGGCGGCAGCCCCGAGCATGAAGTGCAAGCCGAACCAGACGCGGACCTACGACCCGGAGGGCTTCAAGAAACGGGCGGCGTGCCTGTGCTTCCGCAGCGAGCTTGAGGATGAGGTGCTGCTGGTGAGCAGCAGCCGGTACCCGGACCGCTGGATCGTGCCGGGCGGGGGCTTGGAGCCCGAGGAGGAGCCGGGCGGCGCGGCCGTGCGAGAGGTGTACGAGGAGGCGGGAGTCAAAGGGAAGTTGGGTCGTCTGCTGGGCGTCTTCGAGCAGAACCAAGATCGCAAGCACAGAACGTACGTGTATGTGCTGACTGTCACCGAGCTGCTGGAGGATTGGGAAGATTCGGTCAGCATCGGGAGGAAGCGAGAATGGTTCAAGATCGAAGATGCCATCAAGGTCCTCCAGTGCCACAAGCCCGTGCACGCCGAGTACCTGGAGAAGCTGAAGCTGGGCGGCTCCCCCACCAATGGCAACTCCGCGGCCCCGCTGCCGCCGCTGCCGCCGCTGCCGGAGAGCGCGCCCTAGTATGTACCGCTCCCGTCCGGACTCCTGCCTGTCGCTTCCCTTAAGATCAGCCCTGCGGCTGCCCGGAGCACCTCTCCTGCCATGTGCGGTCGGTCGCACTGGCTGGAGCGGGGCTTCTTTTGTTTCCTGGGCAGGCAGACCTCTGAATCACGCTTGCAAACTGTCTCTCTCAGTTGCTAGGCACTGTTTCCAGACAATTTGCACGTTTTTCAGATGCTTTGAAAAATCGCGTCTTGGTGACGCTATAAAATGTTCGGGCAAGCCAAAAGCCACAGGGGATTTCGAGTAAAAGTGCCTTAACTGAGGCTTGCCCAGCTCTTGGGGAGGGAGGGTGGGAGGGGGGAGGAGGGGTAGGTGGGTGGGTGGTGGTGGGGTGTGTGCTCCAGCCTCCTGGTGTTTTGGTTTGCTTGGCTTTTTTCTCCTCCTCCCCTTCCTCCCTCTCTTCTTCTCTTTGCTTCTCTTCTCTTTCGCTTCTCTTCTCCCTTCGTCTGCTCCCTCTCATTTCACGGATGTTTGTGCGTGAGTGTGCGTGGTCAGTTTGGGTACTGGGCTGGTGGTTTGTTTCCCAGTGGAGGCCTGTAAAATCCGCCCTGCTTGGTTGTGTGGGCATCTTCTTAGTTTATCCCCTTAAGTTGTTTTCTCATTCACAGCCTTGGTCCTTGTCAGGGAGCCCTTCTGGCGTGGGAGTTGGTTGAAAGATCCGTTTTACATTCAGAGAAAAAGAAATATTGGAATTTTTACATCCTTGGTGCTCTTTCTGCAGTCAACAGTAATTTTAGCTTCAGAAATCGGATCCAGTATTCCCCTTTCCGAAATGTGTTTGGTCTGTTCAAATGTAGATGGTTTGATTTTCAAAGCATTTTTTTTTCCACAACGGGTACTTTTTCTCCATTTCCCGTACAGTTTCAGTGCATCACCTGATAGAACAGGTATTTCTGCGGGATTGCTAGCCCGATGCATCTTGATGCATATCCTTTTTCGAAACAACCACTCGTAGAACACGGTTTTGCCTGCTCGACTTCCAACTCCCAGTCTCCCTTTCTGGACACCCTGAAGAACCCCGGTTGGCTGTATACATTCGTTTTTGAAAGAAAGCCATCTCTCCTATTTGAGTTTAGTGACAACCCAGTTAGACTTCCAGGACTGGCAGTAATCCTGGGAGTGGAATCTTTGATGGTGGCTGCATCCCTTTTGAGTGAGTTAAGGCTCTTACTGTTCAGCTGTTACAGATTTTTCAAATTGTTGGGACACCTGAGCAGTGTTTTTTACCTGACAAACTTTTCTGGGTGCTGAATTCAAAGCTTTTATGTTGGCCCTGACACTTGTTTGAAATCAGGAATCCCATCTATAATGCATAAGTCTCTCCTGGAATTTCCTCTCTTTTCCCTGCTGTGTCTGAAATTAGATGGAAGGAAAGCCTCCCTTGAGAAGAAAGTTTTGGGAGTGGAAAAATTATTCCACATATAACAAGAACAACATGGTGCATAGTGATACTTCTGAAACATATGTATTTTCAATTCCAGACAAATTGGTTTTTACAAAAGTTCAGACAGTCTCACATAGACCCTTCGGTGTATTCCCTAATAACCTAGTTATTCAAGAAAATCCTTACATTCTGTATTGACATTGACACAGCAGATGTACTATATTTGATATTCTACGGATTTTTTTACACAAAACATTCTACCTGGATTGGTATCACAAATACAATGGAGGTTTAATTTGTACTTTCTAATTTTAGAGGCAATAATGTATCATCTTATTTGGTTCTTATATATTTGACAAAGGCAAAAATATACAATATCGCAACCTGTTCTTAAGAATTGTTAGCCCATAAAATGTTATTGCATTTACCCCCCTTTTTTACACTTAGAATTAGTTTCTTTAGCATTGACTGTCAGGACTTCAAAATATCCTGTGAAACAGTCTTGTCAGAATAATTAAAAGCTCCATAGAGATTCTTTTTTTCTCTTCAAGACTAAATCAGTAATTTCCTGCTAAAATATGTGACCAGGTATATCATACATAGGTAGCATATCGAAATTTTTCCCAACTCGGTGCTCTAAAAATTGATGTTGGGATTATTTTCTAATACTTGTACTTTCTTATGATCGCACTAAAAATAACACGGCTAAATTTTAAAGCTCTCTGTCAGTTAAAAAAGGAAAACGTACTCACCACTGGTTTGCAGATATGAATCACAAATTTATTTTCTGCATGTTTTACCAGTAGCTTATATTTTTCCATTTTCAGTTGATCAAGTTTGTGGCTACTGGTATGGGATTTTTTTTTTTTTTTGGTGGTGGTGGTGGTGATGCTAGGGATTGAACCCAAGGTTTCATGCATCCTAACCCTTCCCTGTATAGCTGTGCTATATTCCCAGACCCTTAGTTGAGTGTTTTATTTTTGAAAAAGTATAAAGAAGAAAGAGGTTAATATAAATATGTAGATAACACTGGAAGCAGAATTGGTAGCCTATCTATAATAAAAACTTCAACAAATTATATGTGCATAAATGCATGTATATATAGATATAAAATCTGTTTACCACACTTTAAAGAAGCAAACTAAAGGGGGAAAATTGTTATGCAATAACTTATTTGCTTTATTAATTTACATAGACTCATTTGATGTAAAGGTTTTTTTGCATGGTTTTATTTCAAAAGGTTAATATAGAATGTCAGTTGGTTTATATTTATAAGATATAATAAATGTAATTATATAGAGAGAGTTATTATTTTTTTCTTGGGCAGAGCTTTCACCTCCAGACTTCCCTTGTTTGCAAGAACCACAAGGCACTACCAAAAAGAATTTTGTCAATATTTTCCCAGTAGTTGTCTCCTGATAAATTACTAATCTGTATTTAGCAGATTTTAAACATTTTTGGGCAAAAAGCAATATGAGAAGCAGAAGTAACTGTGGTGACTGTATTAAACATTATATTTAATGAGAGAGAGCTTATGATAGAAACTACATCGGAGCATGGAAGCCAGACAGACCTAGTTTTTACTCACTCAGTAGCTTCAGCAAAGTTATCAAATTATCTGATGCTCAGGTTTTTGTTTTTGTTTTTAATTCTGTCATTGGAAATAGTGAGAAGCCTTTTCTGACTGCCTGGGTTAAGAAGGCCCCTTCCATCTGATGCTTCTCACAATTTATTGGCCACTAGTCTGTAAACCCTTTGGTTGTTGGGAAATAGCCTGAATTATAGATATTCCTCATTTAATGACCTACCTGTTCAATGACTGTTCAGTTACAGCCAAGGTGTGCTGTGTGGGCTTACAATCTGTCTTTTTTTTGTGCAGTTCTGTACATCTTGTTTATAGAGCCTCAATGTCTTTTTTGGTACAACATACCTTATCTTTACAGTACTGTAATTTTTGCTGATAGTACTGCACAGCACAGTACTGTAGTTTCATTTATTATTTATTTATTTTTAGTACTGTAGTTTTATGTTGTTATATATTAGTACATGTAAGAGCTGTGCAAATAAAAACAAAGACATCAAGTTGGAGTTTCCTTTGGTCATTTCTTTGTTCTGAATAGTGTACTGTATATACTATATAGAATTCCTCATTTAGTGACAAATTCATTTAACGACCTCACAGGAATTGAAACTTGGTCATTAAGCAAAGAATGTCTATTTCCATAACCCTAGAGTCCAGTTTTATGTCTTAATACTCATTCTATTTTAGTAAAATTTCTGGTATCACTGGGTTTCCTGACTTTGCGTCATGATATATATTGGCCTATAACTCCTTCAATTGCTGATCCAGACTTGGTGCATCTACATTAGATAATTCTGTGAAGGCTTTCCAAATACCAAGTAATTGATATTTAAAGTAAGCTCTTACTAAATTTGTCAGAAGAATTATTACTATAAGCCTACTAATTGTATGTTGATTTCTTTTTTCTCAGATGAGCAGTAAAGATGTTCAAGATTGGTCTGAATGAATCATTGATGTGGATCCAGTGCTCAACAGAATTGTCAAGAATAGGCAAGCACTTCTAATGTTCCTGAGGAGACAGCTCATCTGATTTTCCTCCTACATCTTGGGACAGACACTCCTTTCCTGTCTTATTCCACTGATTCCTCTTGCTCTGGTTGTTACACAGTTGTACATGATGAACAGCACCTATAGCCTTTTGTTGTGCTTTTTTGATGTGTCTGCCTTCTCCATTAGACTATGTCTTTGAGAACAAAGACTGTTTTTCCTTACTCTTTGCAGATCCTGCACCTGAGATACTACTTGAAATATGGTTGGCATCACTGAAGGTCTTTGATTCAATTAATATTTTGTAATCCCTGTGTGGCAAAACATTCCCCTTCTGATCAGGTGCCAGTAGAGTACAGGCTGTCTAAGCATCACCATGTGTGTGGCTTTTGTGTATCAGGTGTTTCACAGACATTTCAAGACAGTTGTAAGATGTTTGAAGACAAGAATTACTGCTTATATTTCTATGTCATACCACACAGTGGCTGACACACTCAAAATTATGCCATCAATTAGGGCAATGTTTTGTAGAATCAGTCCTTCATGTAACAACTTCAGACTTTTTGTACTTGTTAATTTGCTTAAAATTTTATTCAAAAAGTCCTTTGCTACAAAGGTAACTGTAAAAGTAAATACAGTGAACACATAATATTGTGAGTTTTTATAAAATAAATTTAAAAATGATAATACGAATAATACATTAAATTTTTGCAATGTCCTAACCACTTATTACATATCATCTTAACATTTCTTTGAAGAAAGCATTGTTTTTCTTATTTTATACATTAAATATACTGTATTATTTGATTTCAGAGCCAAGGAAGACTGCAGTGTAGATAGTTTCCAAAGTAAATTATGCCATTTAGCTTGCCTTTCTCACTGTCTCAGTTGGCCATAGTTTTTATCCCTTTCTCAGCACACTCAACTAGCTCCTCATCCCACCTAGGTTCTGAATGTGAAAATGCAGAGGGGTGAGAGTAGTGAATTGTTGTCACTTAGGAGAAGCACTTGAGAAAGAGACTTCTGTAAGTGAGGAACAAAAAAATGAAAGATTTAGAAAGAGAGGGCTTGGATCAGCTGCTTCCAGGAAAAAAACTTTAAGAAAAGGACAATGATTAGAGGAAATTTCACAGGTTACTATGGGGTCTGTGATGTCAGCACTCTTCCCCAGCTTCTTACAAAGGTTCCTGAAGTGGCTTTAATGTGGTAATTTCTATTTCTTTTAACATTGTAAAACAGATACATTGAGAAAAGCTTGAAGTCCATTTTAGTGTTACACCCTCATGGTACCAGTGAAATGTATTGATTGTGTTCCTAAATCTTTGAGAATTTGAAATAAAAACACATCTTTCTGACTTGCTGTTTTTTAGGTGTGATAAGGTACTGTGGTTAATGTTTTTTGAAAAAAAAAATCCTGATCTTTTAGAGAAGATTGACACATGATGTGCTACTGATAATTGCTTCAATACCACCTGAGGTACCCTATTGAAGGGTAGATGAATGTGTAGATGAAACAAGACTGACTGAATTGATAATTGTTGAAGCTGCGTGATGGATGTTTGAGAATTCATTATACTATTCTCTATACTTTTGTATAGGTTTGAAATTTTCCATAATAAAATTTGAGAAAAGTATTTTTCAGAATTTATTTGTAGGCCACCTTTCTCCCTAGGATTTAAGTATGGAAGCCTGATCAGAAGGCAAATGCACAACCCAGAAAGACTGGCTCATTCCTCCTTTCTAAAAACACCTAACTTTTGTCCTGAATGAAAACTATTGGAAGGCTGCTGTTCCCATAGCATGAATTTTTCCTTGGGACCACCCTCCCACACACACCAATTACATATACAAAGACTCTAGTGTCAACAGTGCCATCCATGACCAGCAAACTCAACTCTAGAGGTGGACATAAGTTTAAGTTCCAAATTGGACATAGCCTACAATTTCATCTCTTAAAAAGACACTAAAATTTTTTTATCACAAAATTAATTCATCTTAGAAAATTTGGGAAATTAAATGAAAAATCATGCATGATCCCTCTACCCAGAGATAACAAAGATGATGATTTTCAGCCTTTTTTCTTTGAAATCTAAATATATGTAATTTAAATGAGGATGCCCCAGGTGAGCTCCATCCACCAGAATATTTCCCTGAAATGCATGACCCTTTTGCCATTAAGTGCACACAATATAGGTACCTTGATATTTCTTAAAATTGTTTAGGCTAATGCTCAGGGCTTTATGGAATTTGTACTGCTTCTGTGCTGTACAAACACAAGAAGCATAACAGAAAAATTGGATCTGAAATTTAGATCAAGATCTATTCACCAAGTATAGGTCCAAGATATATTAGGTTTGTCTTGTTTTGTTTTGTAATTCCCCACAGATTTTCTGCTCACCAGGCACTGAGGCTGAGGATGAGGCATCAATTCAGAGGGAGGGCTCCCTTAATAGTAATAGTTGTGACATTAACTAAAAATATGCTTGCTATAACTACCTTTTTTACAGAATATTTCCTCTAAATCCTCTCTGCAGCCTCAGGCCCTCATACAGTTGCTGCTTGTCAGAGCAGTGGTTTCTGATGGGTAAACAAGGACATCACCAGTCTGGACCCATGGAAGGGAATCCTCCTCTCCCCTTCTACCTTTTTACCCCATAATGTGCCCTCATCCTTCTCTAATTTCCTTTTAATTCCTTTCGACATCCTCAATTCTCTCCTGTATTTTTTTTTTTTTTTTTTTGTAATGGAGATCGAACTTGGGACCCTGGGCTTTTGAGGCAGGTGGCAGAACCACTGAGCTCAATCCCCGGCACCCTTCTCTAATTTCCTACAGCACACAAGAGACCAGGCCTTAACTTTTAATGAGATTGTGTTGAAGATGGCCAGATTATGTGAGGGAAACATAATACAAAGAACATAATTTATAACTACTGCACAGTATAGGATCAGACCCTTCCTAGATTACACTTGTAGACTTGTTCTCTAATGTAGGGCAATTCCAAATGGCTTAGGAAAGTCCCTTCACCTCCCAACACCCATCACTACCAAAAACTGAGTGGAATTTCAAATCATGGACATGGTGATTCTGAAGCCCATGAAGAAGGAAAAGCTGTTCTCTTAGTCTCCGCATAGCACTTAAGGTATCTCACACTTATATTCTCAGAATTAAGGATGTGAATCAGAAGTCAATGAAATAAATCAAAGGGCTAGAATGGTGGATTGGGGATGAGAATCCAGCTTTACCTTACTCCAAAGCTCATGCTCTTTAAGGGGCGAAGATGAAAAGGAACAACAAGATTGTCCATATAGTGAGCTCAGTGCTCCTACTCTTTCTGGGATGGTAAACGTGGGGAAACAAAAAGCTCATTCATGCTTCAAGAAGACTGATTAAACGCTGTGTCCTGTAAGACTACACAGCAATGTGAAGGAGCTTGCTAATATCTCTAGGGATTTAGACTTCTTCAGGGCTAGTGCTGAGTGAATAGGGGCCTGAGGGAATAAGGGGCTCTGGAGTAGGATTTTATGTATTCTTATTTTCTACTCAAACCTCATTTATTGAGAGCTATAAAATAGGCTGAAAAATCATTTTTAGGAAGTGGTTCCAGCTATGGTATCATGCTCCCTAGTGGACATTTTAGGAATTAGTTCACTTTTGAAGTTAAAAAATTTTTTATTTTAATTAACGTAATGATTGTACATATTAATGGGGCATAATATGTTTCAATACATGCATACTGCACTGATCAAATCAGTGGAATTAGCATTTGCCTCATATAAATTATTCTCAAAGTCTGATGGGGGTAATAGGGAATATTCCATTAGTCCCAGTTCAGATGAGAAAATTGAGGCTCAGCAAGGCATTTTAGTTAGGTCACACTTCTAATAAGAAAAAGAGCTGGTATTAGATACTATGTATGTAGAATGTTGTTGCCATTCTGCCACAAAACAAAAAACCAAGTTGCTCTTGTCACAAAAATTTGAAAAATTGGGTTGCTATGTGAAATAATGGATATGTTAATTTACTTTGCTATAGCAACCGTATTACTTTCTCTATGTATACCATAATATCATCTTGTATACCTTAAATATACACAGTAAATTTCATTTTTTAAAAAAGTAAAAAATACTGATTTATTTACAGTAAAGAAACCTTTCTGAGGAACATTCTGCTGTCCCAAAATATTTATAATTACCTTTTTTTTTTGGTACCAGGGATCAAACTTGGGTCCTTGTGCATGTGAGGCAAGGGACAGAACCACTGAGCTAAGTCCCCGGCCCTACAATTACCTTTTTTTAATCTGAATTCACTCTTAGTACAATTGATATATGAAGAAAAAGCCTCTATTGACTTCCAATCAATAAAATTTTGGTTCCTTTTTTTTTCTTTCTGGTGCTGAGGATGGAACCTAGGGCTTTTGCACCTTTGCTCTCAGCTACATCCCCAGCCCTTTTCAATTTTTAAAACAATTTGAGCTGGTGTCGCTAAATCTGTAAATTGCCCAGGCGGGGCCTGAATTTATGATTCTTCTGCCTCCACTTTCTATAGTTCTGGGATTATAGGCATGCACTACCAAACCTGGCTCTTTTCTTATGAAAAAATAGAAAAATTTCATAACAAAATAATGAGAATAATAATAGTCACTACACAGTGTATCGTTATATTCAACGTAGAGTACAAGACATAGACCAAAAAGATTCTTACAAAGAAGAAACATAACACAAAACTTTCTTTTCAATGAACTAAGATAAACTAGGAGTATAAATGAAACAAATCAGCTTATATATTTTAAGTTTTTATGATAGTAAGGATTCATTCAGCCCTGACAGTTTGTAGCAGGAGAAAACTAACCTAATTTGATAAGGGGAAGACAAAAGGGATCTCAGAGGAAATGCTATGTAATTTGGCCCTGAAGAATTAATAGGATTTAGCAAAAGGGTGTTCCAGCGAGGGAAGAGTAGGGTTGAGGTTTTGGGATCAGAATAAGGCCTTGGGTTCAATAACCATCACTATGAAGGAGGAAGAAGAGGAAGGGAAGAAGGAGAAAAGGAAAGAGGGAGAAGAAAGAATCTTCTACAGGGCTGGAGATTTAGCTCTGTGGCACCATGCCTACCTCCCAAGTGCAAGGTCCTGAGTTCAATTCCCAGTACCAGAAAAAAATAAATCTTCTAGAAATAAAGCTGATGGGGTAAGAAAAATTATAATGTCTGATATGAGTTGTTTAGGGATTTGAGGAATGGAGATGTGATGTATCAATTTGAAGAGTGGAAAATTATTTGAATGGGGTTTAAGAGGAGACTAGTAATTTTCTAGGTGAGAAATGATGGTAACCTGAACTAGGGTACTGACTATGTTGATAGAAGTGGACATATTTAAGAAATATGTAGGGTTTAATGGGACATGAGTTGATTAATTGGATGTGGAAGATGGGAGAAACACGGATGTAATTGATGTATTTGATGTTATCTCACTGGAGTAACTGAGTTGATGCCATTTCCTTAGATAGAATCTATTAGAGGGACAATATTAGTTATGCAGGCCAATGAAGAACATGAGATTAGTTTTATTTGTTTTGTTTTGTTTTTTGGTACTGGGGATCGAACTCGGGATCTTATGCTTGTGAAGCAGGTGGTGGAACCACTGAGCTAAATCCCCAGCCCCTGAGATTAGTTTTATAAATGTTAATTTCTGGTACCAAGGGGCATTAACTTGGAGAGGTCCAAAGATACACAGACATGTAGCCTAGGAAAGAAGAATGAGCTAGAGATGTAGATTTTGTAAGTATGCATGGATGGTCAGAAGGTGAAGAGGTAGATATATACAAGGTCAGCCAGGAGAGGGTGTAGAGAGAGGTTAGTGAGGAGTTCCCTGAGCAGTGTCAACATTTTAGGACTTCCAGAGGATCTTGCTGAACCAACTCTCCAAAGAAATACCATTGTTTGGTGACAATTATATGTAACCCCCCTGCCCTCACCTTTAGAAATTGTCATAAGGGTATGCAGCTAATGAAAAAAAAATAGAAGTGCTATTCAAGGCAAGTCGAGGCTAGAGGACTAACTCCCATTTATAAGGTAAGAGCTCTGCCTCACATGTGACAAAACAAGAAGAGTGGGATTTCAAATTTCTCAGTCCTAGCAATTTTCTAGTAAAATTTCTGCATGAAGATGGGCAAGTGGAAATAACCAGGGACTACCACATTCCTTCAGTGCCCACTAGTAGAATAGAAGTGGCCTTTCTATACCCACCACAGTTCAGGTACATTGTCCCAAGTGGAAAAGCAATTCATAAGGACTAAGCACAGCAGCTATGCCTAAAGGGACTGAATTTATTTGGAATAGAACCTGGAGAAGTTCATAT